AAAAAAAAAAAAAAAAAAAACAAGCAATAAAAAAAAATCTAAAAAGCGGGTTGGAGAGATGGCTCAGAAGTTAAGAACACTGGCTGTTCTTCCAGAGGTCCTAAGTTCAATTCCCAGCAACCACATGGTGGCTCACAACCATCTATATTGAGATCTGGTGCCCTCTTCTGGTGTGCAGGCATACATGCAGGCAGAATGCTGTATAAATAATAAATAAATCTTTTTAAAAAAGGCTCTCTTAAAAAGCATTAAAAAAAATCTAAAAAGTTTCTGTACAGCTAAGAAAAACAAGTCAAGAAGAAACCCACAGAATGGGAGAGAATCTTTGCCAGCTATGCCAGATAGAAGAATTAATATCCAGGATATACAAAGAACTCAAAATTCAGAATGAAGGAAACAAGTGACCCAATTAAAACATGTTCAGGCTAGGCATCTGAACAGAGTGTTCACAATAGAAGAAATCAAAATGGCTAAGCAAAACCTGCAAAGTGTTTATTGCCATTAGCAATTAGAGAAAGACAAATTTAAAACAGGTTTGAGATTTTATCTTACCCCATGATTAATATCAATAAAATTGACAACAAATTCTGGCAATATCATAGAGAAGGAAAAAAATCTGCATTCACTGTTGGTAGGAATGTAAATTTGTGGGTATACACACTTTGAAAATCAATATGGAGAATCCTCAAAAGCTAAAAATTAATCGTAAGATCCAGCTATATCATTCCTTGGCCTATGCCCAAAGGATTGACACCTTACTCTGCAGGTACTTGCTCAGCCATGCTTACTGTTGCCCTAGTCCCAAGAGGCAGGAAATGAAACAACCCAAGTGCCCTTCAACTGATAAATGAATAATGAAAATGTAAATAAAGTTTTATAGGTTAAAGGAATCAAACTTGTGATCCTGTTTAATTTAACCAGATTTTAAACACTAATTTAAAAACCAGATTTAGGTACATACCAAAGAAAATTATATGAAGATAACATATTGCCATTAGCTGACCTTTGTACGCTAGTGCTCAGTAAGTAACGAGTATAAACAGCATATCAAGGAGCCTTTCTCTTCTTGCTTCAGAGTTTCATGAATAAAACGAACCTGAACTTCTGATGAACTGTTATTTTCTGAGGTAGAGCCGCTTGGTAAAGCCCCTCCTTACCTGAATTTCCAGGAAGTATAAGCTGCTTGACTATGGGAGGTCGCACTGGTGTTGAGGATGGAGAGTTGAAGCCACTGCTGTAAGGGCTACTGGCATTTGGACTATAAGGACTTGAATAACTCACAGAGTTGAAAGGATTATTGTATAAATTTTGCCTCTTGAGAGCTGTATTAACAAAAAGGGCGAAAATCAAATTTAGCAACTGGAAAAAGGTTAACATTTTAAAAAAGTTTTCTTGTTAAAGACATATGAGGACAGGACATGATATACCAGCTGAACTGCCTTTATATAACTATGTTCACGCCCCTAGGTTAGCGCTGCCCGCAGCTTTCCTGGGAATCTTTTCACAGCAGTCAGCAGTAACTAGACTTGTAACTGGTCCAAATGCTGAGAATAAGTGACTGCTGAGAGTTAAGTCACAAATGCAACACCCATATCATCGTGTACAGAGCTAGGGGTCATGGCAGAAGGGGAGGGAAGAATGTAAGAGCTGGGAGTAGGGATGTGGAAGCGCTGCCTCCCATGCATAACATGGCTGGTACACTCTTGAACTAGCAGCAGCTGTGATTCCCTGCACGAGCTCTGCATGAGATTCCGCTGCCAACATCCTGTCATGGACACAAGAAAGGTTATTGGGCTCCATCCCTCTTTGGGGACTTTATGCAAGATATTTAATAGCCGATGGGGGATGTTGGAACATTTTTCTTCAATAGTGTAGCTACTAGTAAGGTACCCAACTTCTCTTAACAAACAATGAATTTCATTGGAACACACACACACACACACACACACACACACACACACACACAGTTATAAAGTGAAGTGAGTAAGAAAGAGAAAGGGGAGTGGCAGGAGGGAAGGAAGACCTCTATGAATTCAAGACCAGCCTGGTCTTACAGTGTCAAGTCTAAGACAGCAAGTGAAATCATATACAAGGGGAAAAAAAGAAAAGCAATTCTTAAATGGATATTTCTTTCCTCTATTACACAGCTTTTTCACTATTTACAAACAAGCTATAATACTAGAGCACATTTAGACGGGTTGGGGAGAGAGAGTTCTTAAAAACAGCTTGTGCTCAAGGAAATGAGTAGCCCACAGTGGGAAAGAACAGGAAGGAACAGCTTAGGAAAAAGTAGCTGGAGCTGGGTGTGGTAGACCCAGCACTTCAGAAGCAAAGACAGGTGGATCACTTTAGATTTGAAGGCCAGCTTGACCTATGTATTGTGTTCTAGGTCAGCTAGGACTATATAGTGAAAGCCTGTTTCTTCACTATCCCCATTGCCAACCCCCAAAAGTAGTAGATGTAATGGAAGTCCTGAAACAATATGCCCAGACACCTGAAATCCATTCGGTAGCAATCTTTAGGTTTTTTTGTTGTTGTTTTGCTTTGTTTTTGAGCAAAGAGCACTGTGTCCCAATCATATTAGAGAAAAGGTGATAGACAATCTGATGAATAGACTAGACTAGGTAACAAACAGTAACTAGAACACCAGAATGAACAAGAAGGAAAAAAAATGGACAGACATTAAAAACTGTAAAGATTAATAAAGAAAAACAAATTAGATGGCTAAAGTTCTGGTGGTTCAGGGGAAAGAAAAACACTTTTCTGTTTAGTCAGATCATGTGGTTGTATGTGTATTCTCTGTGAGATAGCACATCCCATCCCATACGCACTTGTTATGTAGTACTATGCAGCATGGTCACAGAAATGTTAACCCAAGCAGAAGTACAACTGCTAATTTCAGTCTTCCCGTTTATTATATTTTATAATATAAATGCTCTACCCCTTCTTCTGCAACATGAAGCATTCCCAACATTAATGACCATCAATATGACAAAGACTCCCATTATTTGTTTTCAGTCCTGAGATTTCCTCTGAACTTTAATGTCAGCACCTTCCCAGGGGTATGGCCAGTGTATCCTAGAGTCAGCATACCAAATCCAACTCTTAATCTTCCTGTTAAAATCAATTTATGCTAGGGGAAGTAGGTAGGGTTCCCTCTTTTACATTGGTGTGGTGGTTTGAAGGGCTTTTTTGGAGGAGGTGTGTCACTGGAGGTGGGTTTTTAGGTTTCAAAAGCCCAAACCATTCCAATTTCTGCCTTGAACTTTCAGATAAGATTTTGTAAGCTCTCAGCTACTGCTCCAAGGCCATGCCTGTCTGTTGTCATGCTTCCACCATGCTGGTCATGGACTAACCCTCTGAAACTGTAAGCAAGTAGCCAGTGAAATGTTTTTTTTTTTTTTTTAAATAAGTTGACTTAGTTAAAAACAAAACAAAACAAACAAACAACAACAACAAAGAAGTTGCCTTAGTCATGGTGCCTCTTCACAGCAACAGAGTAACTGAGACAAGTGATAACATTTGTCCTGACACACAAGTAGAAATCCTAGAAATCACTGCTGCTTTCTTCTATCTCCTCATATCTCATTTATCTCCTTTATTACTCATAACTCCCCCCATGATGTTAAATATATTAACTTTATACATAGTTCTTACCTTAGAAATCCCTCCCAGCTCAAATGAAAGAATTCAGAATTTCTCTTCCTCCAGGTCAGTCTAGAAATTCTAACATTCCCCTTCCTTTCTGTCTTAAGAGCAGGCTATAAAGATTTTATTTTTAAACCTATCTTCTCTGATAGATTAAGACCCCTATTTCAGAAGAGATCTTGCTGGCTTCCCTAATGAGTTTATCATACCCTTTCAGACACAATTGCCCATGCTCCAATTAGGCTTTTGCAACTAAGTTTCCATTAAAAACTCAAAAGAGAAGCTGGGGAGATGGCGGCTTGGTAGGTAAAGGGCTTGCTGTGGAAGCTTTAGGACTGCAGTTTGGATCCTTAGCACCCATGTATATGTGAGGCAAGTGTGTTGGCACCTGTTCAGGACTGGAAAGGTGAACACAGGACCCTCAGAACAAGATGACTATAATCTTTCAAATTACTAGGTTAAGTTTTGCAATATCAAAAATTACATTTAAAAAAAGAACAATAAAGCAATCTTGAAAACAGCAGAATTCAATACTACAAAGTTCAAACCTGCAACAGATTATTATTTCCGTTAAAAATGTAGAAAAGTGCCTTGGTACAGAAACACACAATTCTGATCCCAACACTCATTAAGCAAAGGCAGGTGAAGCTCACTGAATTCAAGGCCAACCTGGTCTACAGAGTGAATTTTAAGCAGCAAGACCTACATAGTGAGATCCTGTCTCAAAAATTTACATATATATATATTTAAAATATACAATGTACCTGAATATTTACAAATATAATTATTTGTTCTGTACATGTAGCTATGATTTAAATATTGTTGAACAGATGCAGTACTCAATAGCATGCAATTCTGGTTAGGAATAACTGTCTTACATACTTCTACAATTAAAAAAGTATTTATGTATGTGAGTATTTTATCTTCATCTATGTCAGTGTATGCCTGGTGCCCTTGGGGGTCAAAGAGGGACTCAGAGCCCCTGAATAGCAGATAGTTGTCAGCTGCCATGTGGATGATGGAAATCGAACCCAGGTCCTCTGGAAAAGTAGCCAGTGTTCTTAACCACTAAGCTGTCTTCAGCCCCTGCGCTTGCTGTCTTTCTTTTATCTTTTCTTTCTCTTTCTTTCCTTCCTTTGTTTTCTCTTTCTTTCTTCCCCCATGCCCTAGTTTTTTTTTGTTGGTTTGTCTCCTGGGAGCTGAGGAAACCCTGAGTGAATGTATCCAGAGTGAATGAAGTCTTGAGTGACTGTGTCACTGTTTGACATGGGCACTGCCAGGTCAGTGACTAATGCCTCAGACCCATGGGGATGACAAAGCTTTTCATGTGCTGTGTGAATGTTGACAATGTATGTAAGCGTGACTGTTCATGAATGACTGACCAGTGTACAAAACTTAGTAACTGCAGCTACCTTCTCCCTGATGTTCACAGCCCAAGACTGCTGCTTACCATCAAAGACCTTCTACCAAGGCTTAGCTAACCCTTCCCCTCTGTGCGGCAGAGATCTAGGTTGTCATACAGTTGGTATAGCTCCATCAGACTGTGCACAGCCACCTGACCCCAGCTTTTCTGGCATGTGTCTTCATATCTGTTCTTTCTTCATCCCCTCACTGCCCCAATCATGTTTCCAGGCTTGTTTAGAACTTGATATACAATCCAGGACGGCTCTGGACTCAGTCTTCCTACTCCCACCAATACTAAATTGCAGACACCTACCACCCACCTTCCAGTTCTCTCTCAGACTTTAATACCCCTTTTTGAGATACTGCAGCTTTATTTGCATCCCACAAATCTAGGTTGGTAGTTAGCAACTGGCAAATGTTCCCGTTGTTTTAAACCAAGAACTGAAGAGCAACAGCCTGGGAGCAAATCCAGGCTACTCTCTGTTTGAAAATCAAGTTGTGCTCAAACACAGTCTGCCTGCCTGTGTGTGTGTTCATTCTATGTGGACGTGTGTGCCAGTGCATTTGCAGAGGGCTACCAATGACAAAGGCTGTTCTATCGTTTTCTGCCTTAATATCTCAAAATGGGGTCTCTCCCTCAACCTGAAGCTAGTCTGGCAGCCAACAATCCCTAGAAATGCTCCTGTCTCCACCTCACAGCTCTGACTGTGGCACACGCACTACACACTCGACCTTTTACAGGGGTCCTGGGACATTTCACTCAAGTCCTCAATGCCTGCTGCAGAACATGTTCATCTCAGCCGCTGGAAACACTCTTAATCAATGTCTAATAATAACATCTGACTAAATTCAGTTATTTCACATTGTCTACAGATTTCTAACAATCTATTTCACTCAATGACAGACCAAACATAATAGAAATCAAGTTCCAAATTAACATTCTAAAAACAATTCACACTGAGACAAAACATCTTTGAAACTCATATAAAAAGGCTTTGTTTTCAAAGGCATTTTTTCACAAAGATGAAGACTCAGATTCATTCCGCAGCTCTGTAATTACTTCCTGTAAATTATCTGCATATAGCAACCACTGCTTATAGCAAGCCAGCTTAACTATTTACCTAGTCTTCCCTCTGCTTTCTTAACCACTTTCAGCTTAAACGCTAAAGAACACGTGTCTAAAATAAAGCCAAAGCAAAAAATTATAGCCACACAACTGTAAAGCAAATACAAAACATAAAACAAAAAACAAAAAACAAAAACAAAAACAAGTGAGCTTCAGGGATGGCTCAGTGGTTAAGAAGAGCACTTGCTGCTCTTGCAGAGAAGCCAGGTTCAGTTCCCAGAACTTACATGGTGGTTCATGATCATTTTTAACTGAGTTTCAGAGGATCTGACACCTTTTTCTGGTTTCTGTGAACCCTATACATGTACATATATACATACAGGCAAAATAGTCCTACACATAAATTATTTCTTTAATTTCTAAGTGTCTACAAACACAAAGACCTGATTTTGGATCCCTAGCACTCACATAAAAACCTGAGCAAGACAGTACACATTTGTAAACTCAGTGCTGAAGCAGGTGGAGAAAGGTAGCTCCTTGGAGCTCCATGGCCAGCCAACCTAGCTACATCAGTGAGTGCCAAGTTTCAGTGAGAAACTGTCTCAAAAATATAAGGTGAAGAACAACGGAGAAAGACACATGGACTGGCTAGTCAACTTGACACAGGCTGGAGTTATCTGCAATGAGGAAATCCTTTCTGAGAAAGTAGCCCACCAGGTTGGCTTGTGGTATATTTTCTTGATTGATAACTGATGTGGGAGATGGAGCCAGTTCCCTGTGGAAGATGCTACCCCTGGGCTGGTTCTCCTTGATGCTGCAAGGAAGAAGGCTGAGCAAGCTAGCAACTGGCACTCCTCCATGGCCTCTGCATTAGGCTCCTGCCTCCAGGTTCCTGCCCTGTCCTCCCTCAGTGACAAGTAACTATAAGCTGAAATAAACCCGTTCCTCCCCAAGTTGCTTTTGGTCATGGTGTTTTACCACAGCAATAGACACCCAAACTAAGCCAACACCCAATGTCAACCTTTGGCTTCCACATACACATACACATGTACATACATGCACCTGTACCAACACACATATGTGCATACACCCTCATGAACACCACATACAGATACACATACATACAAAAAAGGGAAGCCTATCCAGAATTACTCATCAGGCTTCATAATTTTCTATTCCATAAACAGTGAGTTTTAAAAGAGACTGAGAGAAATACAAAGACAATACTTTCCCTGTATTTCTTCCCACACTGGCATGTCACATTAAATGGCACAAATAGTTGTGAACAGTTTGTAAGCTTTGTGAATGCTGTTAAACAAAAGAGTAAAAGCAATTTAAAATGGGAAGGAGGGAAGCAGGGAGGGAGGGAGGGAAGGAGGGAAGGAAGAGAGAGAAGAAAGAAAGAAAGAAAGAAAGAAAGAAAGAAAGAAAGAAAGAAAGAAAGAAAGAAAGAAAGGAAAGGAAATCTGAGAAGGAAGAAAAATGAGTAACAGGTACCTTCTGTAAGCCAGAAGCCATGCTAGGCTCTTTCACACACATTATTATTTCCTCAGTCTGATGAGGAATCTGAGCTCAAGGAAGCTCAATAACAGGAAGAGTCAGGAAGCAATCAACTTCTTGAGTGAGGAGGTAATGTGTCTTGGGTCTCCACATGTATTTTTCAGCACATCCATTTACCAAAGCGTGGTATGAGAATTTTAGATGAAATGAGACAAACATTTTTCACTTTAGGAACTGTTTGGGGTCATTAGTTGAAAAATTAAAATTTATAATCTCATGAATATAATCCACTACAGTGAGACTGAGATTTGTAAAAAACTGTTATTACATGAACAGCCTTCATACAGTGAGATTCAGAAGTACTATCAAGCAAGGATTGCCTGCCTAAATATGCACATCCAATATATATGCTTTCAGGCCAAAGAAAATGAATGAATTCACAATTAAAATTATAGACATACCTGACATAGTTTGATCAAGTTTGTGGATAAGGGACTTTTTAGCACACTCCACATCAGGACTTGGGTAATCCAAAACTTGCCTGCACCAAACTAATGGACTAACAGATTTCTGCATTGGTGTGAGTTTTTTCTTTGGTGATGAGTACAACCTAGAAGAAAACAAAAACAAACACAAGACACCATTCGTTACTGAACACAGGACTATGAAATAGGGTCTTTCTCTACAGGTTTAGAGAGAGGGAAATAAGTGATGGGTATGTTTAGTCATAACTACTTACTGTGCAAGAAGATGATACTGCAAGCATGATAACCCCCGAATCTCAGCAACAAAATGAACCCAAAGGAGGTACTCTCAAAAGGAATTCTACTTTTCTCCTATAATTACAGCTACTAAGAGACACCTGGCTGTGTAACACTTTTCCTACTATAACCATGTCATTACATCTAGAGAGGCCGGTGGGGCTCCACCCTCCAATTCCCGTTCTCCCCAACATATATACACCTACCAGATGTAGTACCTACTGGGTGGTAGTCTTCTCAAACACTTATGTCTGAGACGACCACATTTCAAGTCAAACCCTGTACAGAGGAGTTTGGATTTAGAAAAGAAGGGACAGTTTCAACGCTTCTGAAGAGACACACGGAAGGGAAACGGTGAGTAGTAGGGAGAGGTATACCCAAATCTCTACAATGGAGTTCTTCCTCAGATTAGTCCAGTTTTACTGGTTGTTAAGAAACATTTCAGGAGCGGGGCAAGATGGCGGCGCCGGGAGGACTCTCATTCTGAGGAGCAGCACAGCAGGATTGGCACAGTGACCAGCAATCAGAACTCGAGGCCATAAAACACAAGTGATTGTGTTTCACAGGTGAGAGGATACCCCACGGTGGGGGATTCAATCAGCTTTAACTCACCCAGCTAAACCGCGGACGAGATCCTGGTTCCGCCAGGCGCTTGGTCGCCAGCCCAGAGCTACACGCCAGCGTGATCTGGTCATGGTCCCAGACTGAACTGTGGGCCCACAACACCATAGACTGGATTTCCCAGTCCAGAGATAACCCCACGGAGCAGGAAACGATTGGGACTGACCTCAGGTTACCCAGACATCCCCTGGAAAAGACTCGGGTTCCTTGGGTGCCCCAAGAGCCAGCCCGGACCCAGAGCCGGGACCCAGGTGCCTGCACGGAGCCCTGCCTGCGCGCCTGATTCGCTGCCTCAGATAGAACTGTGGGCACCAGGGCACCAGGCACTAGAGACTGCATTTCACTGGCAGGTGCAAACCCACAGGGAGGGAAACGGCTGGTCTGATCTCAGAGCACTCAGCCAACACCCCCACCCCGAAAAGGACTAGGGAAAATTACCCAGTTTAGGCAGCAGCCAAGGCTCCGAACGGCCAGAAAGGCGGAGCCACAAGCGGGCATCTGTGCCTGTGGGTTCTACTCGCTACCCCAGACAGAACAGTGGTCCCCAAAGCAAAGACTGGGTGTCTCTGGCAGGAGGAAACCCCCAGCGGAGGGGATCATCAGCTCTAACGCTTAGGACACCCAGCACCAAAACACTTCCTGGATTCACGCAGACTCTAGGCTCTGATGCAGGCAGAAGCGCTGTGCTCAGCCGCCATTATTGAGTTCCCCTAGGGCACTGGGACACACAGCTGCATCCTCAGACCTACAAAAGCCAGAGAGCCATTACAGCAGCCCTCAGATACTGTGCCAAGGATCAACCAGTTATCCCTAGCTAGACTGTCAAAACTGTGGGAATCCCTGGTCCTTCAAGAGGGCTACACCCACAGCGTCTGGACCAGAGCAGTGCCTGCAGCCGCCATCCCAGACAGGGACACACAGCTTCTGGTCCAGAGTGAGGCACCCAGCCTCCGGACAAGAGCAGCGCCCCCAGGCGCCAACTCAACCTAGGTGCACATTCTCCAGGTCCAGAGCGGAGCACTCAGCCTGTGGCCCAGAGACTTGCTGAGTGCACCTCTCACTTTCCGGGACAGAACTGTGTGCCCCAGGATAACAGACTGAGTTTCCCTGTTGGGAGAAAACCCCACAGCTAAGGAATCAGCAGGTTCTTCAAGAAGACTGTACCTGGAAATTTAGTGAGCAGCAGCACACTAAATTTATAACAAGAAACCCAGCAGTGGGGCAGCTGTCTTGAGAAATTCTATGGGTAAGAGGAGATCCCCCCCTGTCTAACATAAACCACAGCTACTACTCAGGGCTATAAACCTGAGGTGAGCAGTGGCAACTCCTGAGAAACACTGGCCATACAGTGACCATAACCAAAAAGCAGAGGAGGACTCCTTCAGGAAAAATCATCTTCCGGCCAAGGGGATACTCCCTACCTCAGGACTCCAGGAAGCACAGAAACTAACAGCCAACACCTAAATCAGCCCCAGGGGTAGAGGTCAGCGTAAAAGCTCAACCAACAAAAGACAGAGCAATATGGCATCTCCAGAACCCAGCCATCCTGGGGCGAACAGCCCTGGACAATGCAGCATAATAGAAAATCAAGAAGATGACCTTACATCTATGCTGATGAAGAGGATAATAGAGGAAACAAATAAAATACGTAAAGAATTAGAGGAAGATAAAACCAAACAGATCATGGCTAAACGGAAAGAAATGGAGGAAGACAAAGACAAGCAGATTATGGCCATCCGTGAAGAAATACGGGAAGATGCAGCCAAACAGCTTGTGGCCTTCAGAGAAGAAATAATTAAGTCACTGAAAGAAATAAAAGGAACAGAGTTGAAGGAACTAAAAGAAAAAGAGGAAAATACAAGCAGACAGGTGAAGGGAGTAAACAAAACAACTCAAGACCTGAAGATAGAACTAGAAAAATTAAAGAAAACACAAATGGAGGAAATAATGGAGAGGAAGAATTTAGGGAAGAAAACAGGAACTACAGAGGTAAGCATAATCAACAGAATACAAGAAATGGAAGAAAGAATCTCAGGCGTAGAAGATACATTATGGAAGAAATCAATGTATCTGTCAAAGAAAATGTTAAATCCAAAAAATTCCTGACACAGACCGTCCAAGAAATCCAAGACAATATGAAAAGACAGAACCAAAGAATAATAGGAATACAGGAAAAAGAAGACTCCCTTCTCCAAGGCCCAGAAAATATTTTCAACAAAATCATTGAAGAAAATTTCCCCAAGTTAAAGGAGAAGCCAATAAGGATACATGAGGCCTACAGAACACCCAACAAATTTGACCAGAAAAGAAAATCCTCCCGCCACATAATAATCAAGACAGTAAGTATACAGAACAAAGAAAAAATACGAAAAGCTCCAAGGGAAAAAGGCCAAGTAACATATAATGGCAAACCCACTAGAATCACACCTGACTTTTCAACAGAAACTATGAAAGCCAGAAGGGCCTGGACAGATATCATGCAGACCCTAAGAGAACACAGATGTCAGCCCAGGCTACTATACCTTGCAAAACTCTCAGTCCTCATAGACGGAGAAAACAAGATATTCAATGACAAAAACAAATTTCAAAAATACCTACACACAAATCCAGCATTACAGAAGACACTGGAAGTGAAAATACAACCCAAGAAAATTACCTTCTGTCAAGAAAACACAGGAAATAATTAACCTTACTACAGTAAAACAAAAAGCAACCAAGCACACAACCTTATGAACACAGCCAACATCAAAATCAAAGGATCTAACAGCTACTGGTCATTAATCTCTCTCAACATCAATGGACTCAACTCTCCAGTAAAAAGACACAGATTAACAGAATGGATACGTAAACAAAACCCAGCAATCTGTTGCATACAAGAAACACACCTAAGGCACAAAGATAGACATTACCTGAGGGAAAAGGGTTGGAAGACAACTTTCCAAGCAAATGGACCCAAGAAACAAGCAGGAGTAGCCATTCTAATAGCTGATAAAATAGACTTTCAACCAAAATTAATAAAAAGAGATGAGGAAGGACACTTCATACTCATCAAGGGAAAATTCCAACAGGAAGACATCACAATCCTGAACATCTATGCCCCAAATACAAGAGCACCCACATTTGTAAAAGAAACATTGATAAAATTTAAACCACATATACATCCCCACACATTACTAGTGGGAGACTTCAACACCCCACTCTCAACAAAGGACAGGTCAACAAAACAGAAATTAAACAAAGAAACAATATCTCTGACAGAGGTCATGAATCAAATGGACCTCACAGACATTTACAGAACTTTACACCCAAACACAAAAGAATTTACCTTCTTCTCAGCACCTCATGGAACCTTCTCCAAAATAGACATTATAGTTGGTCACAAAGCAAGCCTCAACAGATACAAGAAGACTGAAATAATCCCTTGTATCCTGTCTGATCACCATGGAATAAAGCTGGACTTCAACAACAACAGAAATAGCAAAAAGCCTACACACACATGGAAACTAAACAACTTGTTACTAAATGACAGCTGGGTCAGGGAAGAAATAAAGAAAGAAATTAAAGTCTTTCTAGAACTCAATGAAAATGAAGACACAACATACCCAAACTTGTGGGACACAATGAAAGCAGTGCTAAGAGGAAAGTTCATAGCACTAAGTGCCTTCAAGAAGAAATTCGAGACAGCTCATTCAAGCAACTTAATGGCTCACCTAAAAACCCTAGAAAAAGAAGAAGCAGACACACCAAAAAGGAGTAGATGGCTGGAAATAATCAAACTCAGGGCTGAAATCAATCAATTAGAAACAAATAAAACAATTCAAAGAATCAATGAAACCAAGAGCTGGTTCTTTGAGAAAATCAACAAGATTGACAAACCCTTAGCCAAGCTAACTAAAAGGCAGAGAGACACCACCCAAATCAACAAAATCAGAAATGAAAAGGGGGACATAATTACAGACACTGAGGAAATCCAAACAATCATTAGGACTTACTTCAAAAGTCTATATGCCACAAAATTTGAAAATCTAAATGAAATGGACAATTTTCTTGATCGATTTGACTCACCAAAGCTGAATCAGGACCAGGTAAATCAATTAAATAGTCCTATATCCCCCAAAGAAATAGAAGCTGTCATCAAAATTCTCCCATCCAAAAAAAGCCCAGGACCAGATGGCTTCAGCGAAGAATTCTACCAGACCTTCAAAGAAGAGCTAACTCCAATTCTCTT